TACTCCAGTTTGAAAATAAAGGTCTTGTGATGTTATCCCAGACAATAACTGAAGGAAAAGGTGAAACAGGGCTTTCAGTAAAAAAAAGTTCTCACTTAAGATATACATCACCTACTCTGCATTCACAGGAGTCTCTGTAGATACATCAGTAGTATACAAACACAATAATTTGGCGAGAGCCAAATTCAAACTGTCCGCTGAGAAATCCAATTTTGCGTGAAGCATATGCATCTATGACACAGGGGAAATAGTAAAACCAACTGCCTCTAGCAGCAGGAAGTATTTAGGATCAGGGAAGCAACACCATCCCAGAATTTCTAATAGTTCCTTTTCAATGCATTTTCAGTCCTGTCCTCTCCTTATTCTCTCTATGGATCTTGTACAGCAACATCTACAACTAGAATGGATTGACAAAAGATGATAATGCTGACAGAACCATTTTCCTCACCTCTTTCTGTACCAGTATATATAGAACACTTTTTCCTGTTTTATGATTTTCTTTCTCTTCATTTTTCTTTACCAGGTCTTTTCCCCTGAGTTTTCTGGTTTGGAACAGCTCCACTGTATTTCCTTACCACTTAAGCCCCTTTTCTTTTTATATCACAAGCCATCTCTTCCCTTTTCACACATAAATATAATTGCTGCTACTTGATAAGTAGCCACACAGCTCCTGTTGTTTTTATAATCTAAACCTATGTCTCTTGAGCTTTGTTAATGTCCCCTACTGAAAATACCTCAAGAAAACATGAGAGATTTTAAGAAAACCAGTAGTAGGTCTCAGTTATCAAAAGCAACTGAGTCAGAGGTCTATCAGCAAATTACAGCTGTGCCTGTGCTTTTTTCAGACTGCAAATATTCTGATCTATATTATACTTACTCTTTTCTGCAATTTTGGCATATCTCAAATACAGAAGTGAAATATAAAAAAAAGTGGTTTTTTTCTAGAGCTTTGAAGTTATTAGGTTCTGTTGCATAAAACTTGGCATACACTAATAAGTAAACCTTTCCCTGATAGATGATAACAGCTCCTTTGTTTCTCCAACTCCCACTTGATGGAGGGATTATGTACTCAATCAACCCTAATGGCTCCCACTAAGACAAACCAATCTATTGTATCTATTTAACTCCATGTACACATACTGAGTCCACATGCCAAAATCTGTACAACAATAAGCAAGCAAATACTTTAAACTAAATAAACTGTTCAGATTCCTCTCTGCAGACACCCAACGACCCACAGTATGAATAGTTATATTTAATTAAATATACAAGCCATTACCTCAAAAAGTGTTTATTTCCTGGGGGGGGGGGGGGGGGGGAATGGGAAAAAAAAAAAAAAAAAAAAAGTGTTGACCTATTTAATAGGGAATCAGCCAAGACATTGAAAACCACCACATGACTGACGTTATCCATAGAAATCCTCAGGTCTTATCTAGATAGATCAAATGCACAACATGTTATGCAGAATCTTCAGCGGTGTCTAGGGAAGAAAGTTTATTTCTGTACTTCTTAATGAATCTGTACCAATTTTTTAAAACTCTTTTTTGAAACAGTATTTTTTAAACACCCAGAAATGATCTTGAGAACATTGCATTAGACTCACTACAATACAGCTAACCTTATGCAAGATCAAATTCATTAGCCCAGGAAAACCAATTGAATAGTCTTCATACTTCTCCATGTTTGTTTTCCATTGTTAGCTGAATAAGAGAGATCTTAAGAAAAATCTACATTATAACTAGCATGAAGCGTACACTCAACAGTACTGCAGGGCCTGGTCCAGAGAAGTAAGTGGAATTAGCCATAATCATTATTGTACTGCATAAAATCATTACTGGTGTATATTATTCCTTTGCAAAAAAACCCAAAAAGACGAGTCCAAGTATTTGTGACAGTTGTCAACAACCACATATGTCTGAAGCTTTCACTTTTCTCAGGTGCATTCAGTGCATTCCCCAGAGCAGGAAGGAATTATGTTCCAAAGTACCAGTACTTAGAAACCATTTTTGAAGACTATTATATATACCAGTTTAAGTTTCTGACTACAAAAGGTTAAACAGCTTCTAGTGTCACCTGTGTTGCATACAAGAAACATTTAGAAGGCAGCTGAAAATCCTGTTACACTATGAGTTTGTTATGATGAGAAGTATTTATCATCTCTTTAAGAATTCAAAGTCAAAAATAGTATTTGTGAACATCCTAAACACACATTTACTGCCTATAATGGCAACTCTAAATTCTCCTGTTCAACAAAGTAAAAACTTTATGATTTACTTCATGACACTGGAGACAAGACTTCTGCCTGCAGAGCAGCACAAATGCATATGGTAGATGGAATGTGTCAGAACTGGAAGAGAAATGTAAGGACGATAATTTTAAACTAAGTTAACATTGGAATTAACAGAAATTATCTCAAGCTAAACAACTGTGATTGTTTAGCCTTCCTCCCAATGCAAAAGTTTGATCCTATTAATGTTAATACATGACCCCAGGCAGTGATTTGCCTTTATCTCCAGTCAGTGGTGTTTGTGTTTGTCACGACTACAGGCAAAGCAACAGCAAGGCCATGGCTCAGAAAATAGGTCCATAAATGCAAAAGACATTTTCTGTGTCTCACATTATCTCAAAAGTCTTTGCATCAGCTAGTGTTCAATGGTATTCCTCCTGATTCCTACCCCAAATTCTGGTGACTTAGCAAGGAAAAGGTTAAGGCCTTGTATACTAAATATTCTGGCCCTTGTATACTAAATATTCAGTTGTCTGCTTGCTGCATAGCTTCTCATTTGTTTCAGGCCTATCAGACTATGTTAGTACTTGTTATGTTATTAGTACTTGTTCATTGTAAAATGAACTGTTACATGTTACATTTTGTAGTTAATCAGATTAAGAAAATAATCTTTCAAATCTCTTCTGAAACTGTAAATGAGAAAAATTATGGAAAATTAAAGCCTGGGTTTAAGAAATAGGTAGCTGCTTAGAGTAAGATAAACCCAGAGCTTAAATACTTCAGGAAAACATGTGGGACAAAATTGCCAATGTGTTTCCCATCCTTCCCTCCAAGTTCTGCAGATAGTCTGAAAAGCCTTTTCTCAAAGCTCAAACATTTCATTATAGAAACACAATAAACTGATTGCAGAATACTAAAAATAATACTTTTATATTAGTCTGGAAGTGTCAGGTCACAGTATTCTGATACACTATCACCTTTAATTGGAGACCAAATTTCTAGAAATCACTGAAAGAAGCAAGGAAAAGAAGATTCACAACAACCTTCACAATCTTTTCTTTTCACAAGAAAAGAAAACATTTGCCACTACCTTCCAATTTTGAAGAGATGTGAGGATATAAATGCTGACCTGGTAGATTGCATTTCCATCAAGAAAACCATCATCATACCCACACTGCTCATGGCTGTCCAAGGAATAACCGTACCTCCATATCTCTCCTACCCATAGTTCTTAAAATGAAACACAAGTAGTTTAAAATACAAGGCCATTTTCTTTCTTCACACTTAAAGCTCCTGAAGGTAGAATACTAAATTACAAGCTTAGTAAAACAAAGTTTGGAAGCCCATTTTAGCTACTTAGAAATATTTCACAAGTAATTGCTCAAGGTGAAATTATTCAGGGCTTTTCTGGTATCTTGAAAAAGAGCAGTATCAAGCTCTCGGTCACCAAGACCACCCAGTCTCACAGTACAACCATCAGTAACATCATCCTCAAATTAGGCCAAGGGATATATTTTACATTATGCAAAAGCTCCTGTACATTACACAATGCATCCAAGCTGGAGAACAAGTGTTTGCCAGTTCATTTGGTGCAACATGTCTGAGAACCCAAACATGCCACTGAGGACTGAAACAAAATATTTTAGTAGTAGAATGATACTAACACCACCAATAACTTTAAAAATATTTTTTTCAAATACGTCATTACAGCTACAGCAGTATCTCTAAAAATCACATTTGTATTTAGAAAGATGTTTCCTTATAACTTCTTCAAGAATAAAGGAAAGGTTGTTTTACACAATAAACTTCTATCACTAGTAACAAATATATCACAGAAACACATTTATTTGTATCAATTGCTGCTACCATGATTCAGTGTCTTTATTTTGCCCTTCCTGTGTAAACCCCCAACAGTATTAGACCAAATTCTGGGCCTTTAACCAAGATGTAAATTAAGATAAAAAAAACTTTAAAACTTGACCCCAAACATTTCCAAGTAAGAAAAGTAAACATTAGAAAAGTTTAGTCTAAACCAAGAACAGCTTCTACTACAGCATAAAACTGAGACTTCTCCAATTTTGTCCACATTTCATTAGTTTCCCAGGTAATGAATGCAAAACACAGAAAGTGTTGAGTTATTATGCTATGAACGTTCAGCATTTGAGCACAGCCAGTTCACACTATTTAGATGAGAGACAAACGTCTTGAAAAACTCAACTTGTAAAATCATTGACGCAGTCATGACCATCCAAAATAGTGTGTCAGGCTACAAAAAAAACCAAAAACGTAGCTTTGTATATATATAGAAGTAAAAACCGCTTTTTTTTTTTTTAACCGAAAATGCAGTGCTAATAGAAAACGGCAAATTTTTTTTTAGCATTACAAAACAATTAAGCCAAGAAAGGCATTGGAGATGTTAGCCGTTAAAACCTGCACTTCTTTCCCCCACGAACCCGAAGAGGCGGAGCCGGGGGGAGCACGCTGCGCCCGCCCAAGCGCGGCACCGCTGCGCGGGAGC